GAGATGAAAGAATCACAATATGCATTTCTAAGTCATAAACGGAGAAGGTGATAGACTTACATTCAAACATTTCTACTCTCCCTGTACCTTTCTATAACCTGGAAATAAAGGCAAACATTCTAAATCTCTACATATATGTACAACTCAAAAAGTGATTGTGAAGCTTGATATTTTATTGAAAAAATTCTGAATTTTTCCCACAGAAAAGAAGAATAGTTCAAGAGACTATAAAAATAACACGGTAATGGTCTTGAATGTCCAAAATTCCGCTGAGTGAACTGGATTCTGAGCTCACATGTTTTATGCTTAATTTGATTCCACCTCTCCCCACCCTCACCCCAAGTGTCCACATTTCTAACATTCAGAGTCATGAATCTTTGCAAACTGATGCCTGGCTACATTTTTAGTGCTTTTTTACTCCTTATAGCCATAGTTCGATTTTGAATTGTTTTTGGAGGAGATATGCTGCTCAATTGTTGGGGAGGAGGGGGTGTTACTATGCCACCTTAAACAACACACACACACACACACACACACACCTCTCACTGCTTGTTAGATGCTTTCAATGTCCCAGAAAACATATTATTATTTAAATTTTGTATAGAGTTTAGTTAATTCAATGACAGTAAAAGGTAAGCATTTTTCATTTTATAGATAGGAAAATTGAGTTCTTATATCTCAGTATGTTTGGTTAGAGTCAAGATATGAATCTAATGTGTGTTTATAAAAGGTCAGTGCAACTCTGCCATATTGACTCTCCATTCTTTAAAATTACATAATTTTATATGTTGCTGCTTTAATTTTTTTTAATACATAATATATTTAAAAAATTTTTAAGACTTAAAAAATGAAAATAGCTATTAGTATGATTGTCCATCTAAGTAAATTTTAATTTTGGATAAGAATCCTTGGATGCCTCCAGTGTTCACAAACTCTAGCTAACCAATGCACACAGACATGATAGGAAGATTGGTTCCCCAATCTCGTAAAATACACAGGAAGCAAAAGAGGTTAGGCAGTGAGAGCATAGGCCACAGCAGTATTCTGGATAGATAGAGTACCACTGGTTCTGCCACTACTACATAAATGCCACCATGGACAGCACCCTCGACAAGATGATTATCGTTATAAACATCCTTTTCTCATTCCTGATTTTAAGTGGAAAACATTCAGCCCTTTACCATCAAGTCTGAAGTTAGCTGTTGGTGTTTCATAGATTTCCTTTACTATTGAGGAAATTACCTTCTATTCATGTATATTTTACAGAGACTTGCTTTCAGGAATTGATGTTGGATATTCTCAGATGCTTTTTCTTACATTTTTGTAATAACTATGGATTTTAATTTTCAGTTTGCTATTATGGTGAATGACATTGATTGATTTTTCCAATATTAAATCCAAACCTGTGTTCCTGGTATTAAACCCCACTTGATTATGATATATTATCCTTTGTATATATTGCTGGATTTAGTTTGCTAAAACTTTGTTTAGAATCTTTGCTTCTGTGAATATTAGTCTATAGTTTTCTCTCATTGGAGTGTGTTTGTCTAAAATTGGTATCAGGGTAAATCTTGCCTCAAAGAATGTGTTGGAAAGTATTTCCTCAGCTTCAACTTTTTCTGGAAGAATTAGGGTAGAATTCCTTACATAAATATTCTGTAGGATTCATTTGCAAAGCATTCAGAGTCTGATGCACAGTGTATTTCAATCTCAGATGGGAATTGCTGTCAAAGTCTTCAGCTCCCCTGGCCAGCCATGCCATGTTTACATTCCTATCTCAGACACCTTCATTCCTAGGTCTGCTTATCTGAGACACTGGGATGAAGTCTCCCTCAGTTACCTCCTGAGGTTTCTTTATGTGGAGAGGATGGGGATGGGAAAACCTGAAAGATAATCTTCCCCCCTGTACTGGATATGTCGGTATTCCTATAAAAATTCTTCAGCCCTTTTCTAAAATGCAGTTGCATTACTTAAAACAGGGTGATCCTTTTTGATCTGATTTTATGATTTATTAGGCCAATCCAAATGACCGCTCAGTCTAGGGTTAAGTGTTTCTCAGTAATAAGGCAAGACCTTCTTGAGTATTCTACCCAATTCCTTGAGAAATTCTCAAGTTTTTGGGGGGGGGGGGAACAGGCTCTATTCCTGGCCCTGAGTGCCTGACACTGTTCTCTAATATTTTCAGAAGTTTTTACCCTGCTTTTGGTAGTTGCCTCACATACATTCACTGATTAGTACTCTCCTGATCTATGCATATCTCCAGAGTTCTCTTTCTGTTCAGCTCTCTCTTCCTCAGCCCTCTTCCTGTGAACTCTAACTGTCTTGATCTCTGTGGATCTCCTCTTCTTTCCTCATTTCAGAGTATCCACCAGGCTACATCTGAGTTTCTTCCACCAGTATTTCAGCCTGTAAACTCTCTCAAGGCAGTAGGCTGGGACAGTCATAAGGTTCCCAGGCTTCTTCTGTATTTCTCATGGGTCACTATTCATTATTGTCTGAGGTTCAGCATATCTAAAACTGTAGTTTTTTTTAATATTTTGTCTAATTTTTTTACTTATTTCAGGCATAGGGTAAGTCATGTCCTTGTTATTACATCGTTGGAAAAAGGAGGATTCTCATTTAAATGGTTTTAGTATTTAAAATGTAAAAGGATATAGCACAGAAACACTCATTGTCATTTTTGTTTTATTTTTTAGTTGAAATATAGCTGAGTTACAATATTAGTTTTAGGTGTACAACATAGTGATTTAATATTTTTATAGACTATACTCCATTTAAAGCTATTACAAAATAATGGCTATATTTCCCTATGCTACACAATATATCCTTGGCGTTTATTTATTTTATACATAGTAGTTTGTACCTCTTAATTCCGTATTCCTATTTGTCCCTCCCCCTTCCCTCTCTCCTCTGGTAATTACTAGTTTGTTCTCTATACCTGTGAGTTTGTTTTTGTATATTCCTTTGTTTATTTTTTAGATTTCAAATATATGTGATATCATACAGTATTTGCCTTTCTCTGTATGACTTATTTCACTAAGCATAATACCTTCTAGGTCTATCCACATTGTTGTAAGTGGCAGAGTCATTGTTGTAAGTGGCAGAATTTCATTCTTTTTTATGACTAATATTCCATTATATATATATATATATATATATATATCTTATTCTTAAACCAATTCTTAAACTAATTCTTAAACTTAAATCAAAAGATGATTATCTTTTGATGGTGTTTGGGTTGCTTCCATACTTGGCTATTTTAAATAGTGCAGCTATGAACACTGGGATGCATGTATCTTTTCAAATTACTGTTTTTGTTTTCTTTGGAGATATACCCATGAGTGAAATTGCTGGATCATATGATAGTTCTATTTTTAGTTTTTTGAGGAACCTCCATAGTGTTTTCCATAGTGGCTGCACCAATTTACATTCACACCAGCAGTGTACAGAAGTTCCCTTTATTCCACATCCTTGCCAACCTTTTCTATTTGTAGACTTTTTGATAATAGCCACCCTATGTCTTTTGATTGGAGCATTTAGTTCATTTACAAATAAAGTGATTTAATTTTAAATTTAAAGCCATTAAAATTTACATAGTAAAGTATATATCTCTGAATTTACCTGTGTATCTCTTCTTCCACCATTTAAGAATTTATACAAAGATTTAGATATAGGAGAGAAAAATTAGGCAAGGAGTTTGTATCGTCAGGTCAGAGGTCAGATTTTTTTATGCTAATATAAAGAAAGTATGATTTAGAAAGTGTGTTGATAGTCCTGATCCAGAACGAACTGATTGAAAGGTGCTGTGCAGTTGGTAAAATATTTTGATACGGGACAAATATTGCTCAAACTATGCTCTCCAACTTGGTAGGTAATTTTGAGACTAGTAAAGGAAAGAAACCAAAGCAGTTCAGATGTTAAATAACTCTATCATTTATTAAAGTAAATGGCACTCATCATTATAAGATATACAACATTTCAGAGGGTGCTTGATAGAACACTGAATATTCTAATATCCACTGTTTGGGCTTGTTTTGATTGTTTGTCCCTGGATAACCAATTTAAAAGATGACAATTATTAAAAGTTAAATTATTACAAGAACACTGGTTAGCTCATTTAGTTGGGTTAGGCCAATTTGGTTAATATTTAGGCCCTTGGATAGATATTGCTAACTCATCAATATCTGAGCCTCCTGTGCTTTGAGGCACATACAGGAACACATTGACTTGAACGCTTGTAGTTTTACATGGGCCTCTGAGTAGTTCTCGACAATATGGCAAGTGAAATGATGTGTGTTACTTCTTCTCCAGAGTATTTAAAGTTCAGTATGAGACTCTCTACATCTCTCATGTGCTATCAGGAAATTGTAAAGAAATCCTTGGTTTAACATGGTAGGGTCAAACCTTGCAGTAATACCTAGTCAGTTCTAACTAATATAAACTCATACGCTCTAAAACTGTGATATGGTCACATATAAGATATTAGTATGTAAATGTTTTAAATATGGTTATAGTCAGTGTAAATCAAAAGTCATAATTTTAATTAATACCTTGAGTAGTATATAAAATTGGAAAGCTATTTGTTTTCATTTCTGCATAATGGAGAAAACAGTCAAGAAATGTTTGCTGTAACATCTTTAATTTATACTCTTCCTGATATTTAATGTTAATATATACAATCCTATAACATTATTTCCATTTTTAGTGAAAATATGAATGCTGCCATTCATCTCTCAGAGTGTTCCGTGTTGAGCACGCAATCCATGTTTCTAATTGGGAAGGTGAAGATGTTATCACTACAGAGAGGTTTTTCCCTAGAAAAGTAATATTACAATTAGTCATTTTATCAATTTGGCTTGGATTTAGCTCTGTGTAGCAGAAAACCTTACTTAAAGTGGTTTAAAATAGAAACTATTCATTTTTGTGAATAATCAGTTCCAGTCGACTTAATGATGAATTGATTGGTATCTCTAATTCTGTTATCCTTTTATTTTTATCAGTAGAATCCTGCCGCAACACTGAACAATAAGGCATCATTCAACAAAGGCAGAATGGAGGTAAGTGTGTGTTGGAGGGGTGGGGGAAGAGTGGCATCAACCATTTCTGATCCCTCTCCTCAGAGATTTTTTCGAACACTTTCCCTTTCTCTACCCCCAAACTTTTCTATCCATTATTGCCCTGAAAATTATGCCTATTCCCAGCCATAGTAAGACTGGAAAAAAGAGCATTTACAGTTCCTGGACTCTTTTTTTTTTAAATTGATATATAATTGACCATAACATAGTGTTGTGTAACATGTTGGTGATACATTTATATATTCCAATATAATTACTACAGTAACATTAGCTAACACCTTTATCATGGCATACTTTTATCATTTCTTTTTTGGGTTGAGAAGACTTAGTCTCTTAGCAACTTTAAAGTTTATGATATAGTATTGTTGACTATAATCAGTATGTTGTGCATTAGCTCCCCCGAACTTATTTACCTACTAGTTGTAAGTTAGTACTCTTAAAACAGCATCTCCCTAATTCCCCCAGCCCCTCGTCACCTCGACCCCATTTCTCTGTTTTCACAAGTTCAGTTTTCTTTGAGATTCCACCTATAAATATTACCACACAATATTTCCTTTCTCTGTCTGACTTACCTCACTTAGGTTGCCTTCAAGTTCCATCCCTGTTGTTGGCAAACGGCAGAATTTCCTTCTTTCTCAGGGGTGGATAATAAGTCATTGTATATATACCACATCTTCTTTATTCATCTGTAATTGGACCCTTAGGTTGTTTCCATAGCTTGGCTAGTATAAATAATGCTGCCCTGAACATGGGTGTGCAGATATCCCTTCGAGGGATATTGATTGAAACTGAAATTGATTTCAGTTTCTTTCGTTACGTACCAAGGAGTGGGATTGCAGGATCATATGGTAATTAAATTTTTAATCTTTTGTGGAACCTCCATGGTGTTCCAATAGTGGCTGCACAATTTACATTCCCACCAACAGTGTTCAAGGGTTCTCTTTTCTCCGCATCCTTACCAACATTTGTTTTTTTTAGGTTTTGTCCCTCCAGGTTTATTGAGATATAATTTTTATATATCACTCTATAAGTTTAAGGTATATGTCATAATGGTTTGACTTACATATAGTGTTAAATTATTTACTGGTATAAGTGTATAGTTAGCATCCATCATCTCATATAGATAGCATACGGAGAAGACAAAACAAGAAAAAATAATTCCTTATGGTGAGAACTCTTAGGATTTACTCTCTTAACAATCGTCATATATACGATACAGCAGTGTTAACTAGAGTCATCATGTTGTGCATTACATCCCTAGTACTTATTTATGTTGAAACTGGAGGTTTGTAACTTCTGACCACCTTTCTCCTATTTCCCCTCTCCCTACCCCCTGCCTCTTCTGGTGACCAAAGATCTGATCTCACCTTCCTTTTTTTTTAAGATTCCACATATAAGTGAGATCACACAGTGTTTGTCCCTCTCTGTCTGACTTATTTCACTTAGTCATTCTTGGCTCCGTCATCATAAATTAATTGACCGTATATGTGTGGATTTATTTCTGGGCTTTCTACTCTGTTCCATTGATCTATGTGTCTGTTTTTGTGCCTATACCATACTGTTGTGGCTACTAAAGCTTAGTAATCTAGCTTGAAATAAGGTATTATGATGCTTCCAATTTGTTCTTTCTCAGGATTGCTTTGGCTATGGGAGCCCTTTGTAGTTCCAGACAAATTTCAGTATAGTTTGTCTATTTCTGTAAAACACATTGGAATTTTGATTGGGAATTCATTAAATCTATAGATCACTTTTGAGTAGTGTAGACATTTTCAAAATATTAATTCTTTCAATACAGGAACATGGATCTTTCCATTTTGGGGGGTCTTCTTCAATCTCTTTTTATCAACGTTTTATCATTTTTGTGTGCAAGTCTTTCACCTCCTTGGTTAAATATACTTCTAAGTATTTTTATGCTATTATAAGTGGGATTGCTTTCATAATTTCTTTCAGGTAATGTGTTGTTAGTGTACAGAAATGCAATCAGTTTCTGTACGTTCATTTTGTATGCTGCAATTTTACGGAATTTATTAGTTCTAACGGTTTTTAGTAGAGTTTGTCATCTGCAAACAGGAAATTTTACTTCTTCCAAGCAAATATGCATGCCTTTCATTTTCTGGACTAATTATTCTGGCTAGGACTTCTAGTACTATGTTGAACAGAAACTTTCTAGTTCATGGAAACGTCAAGTGAGTTTGAGATTTTTCTTGTTTCTGAATGTGTTTATCAATATAAACTTCCCTCTCAGAAATCCTTTTGCAACATCCCATAGGTTTAGCTATGTTATGCTCCCATTTTTGTTTGTTTCAAGATATTTCTTGATTTGCCTTTTAATTTCTTATCTGACCCACTGGTTGTTCAGGTTTATATTTTTTAATTTCTACAGATTTGTGAATTTTCCAGGTTTCCTCCTCTTGATTGATTTCTAGTTTCATATCATGTGGTCAGAAAACACACTTAGAATGATCTCAATTTGTTAAGACATATTGTGTAAAGATCACCTCTCATGTGATCTTTCCTGGAGAATGTTCTGTGTGCGTTTGAGAAGAATGTATTTTCTGCTGTTGTTGGGTAGAATGTTCTTTATGTGTCTGTTAGGGCATTTCATCTAAAGTATCATTCAAATCCATTATTTCCTTATTTAATTTGTCTGGATGATCTCGCCAGTGTTTAAAGCCAGGTATTGAAGTACTCGACTATCATTGCATAGCTGTCTCTTTCTCCCTTCATTTCTGTTAATGATTGTTTAATATACTTAGGTGCTCCGTTATTAGAGAGTATGTGTTTACAATTGTTATCTCCTTCTGATAAATTGACCCCTTTATCATTATATAATGACCTTCATTGTCTCTTAGGATAGTTTAACTTAGTCCCTTTTCTCTGAAAAGTATAGCTACCCTATTCTCTTTGGGTTTCTATTTGCTTGAAATATCTTTTTTTCATCACTTTACTTTCAGCTTGTGAGTATATTTAAAACTGAAGTGCGTCTCTTGTAGGCAGCATATAAATGGGTCTTGTTTGTAATACATTCAGTCTCTCTATGTCTTTTAATTGGAGAATTTAAACCAGTAATATTTAAAGTTATTATTGATAGATAAAGACTTCCTATCATTATTTTGTTCACTGCTCTCTGATCGTTTTGTAATTCCTTAGTTTTTTTTCTTCCTAATTTTTTTTCTGTTGGTGATATTTTGAAGTGGTTTGCTTTGACTCTTTCCTCTTTACCACTTGTATGTCTACTTTAGGTTTTTGCTTGGTGGTTACCATGAGTCTTTAATAAATCAGCTTATAGGTTTATAACCATCTATTTTAAGCTGATAACAACTTCATTGCACAAGAAAGTTTTACCCATTTACTTGCCACCGCCACAGATTTTTAAATTTTTATTTCATTTTGGAGCATAGTTGATTAAAAATGGTGTGTTAGGTTCAGATGTACCGCAAAGTGATTCAGCTATACAATAGATGTATCTACTCTTTTTCTAATTCTTTTCCTATTTAGGTTATTACAGAATATTGAGCAGAGTTCCCTGGGCTCTACAGTAGGTCCTTGTAGGTTATGTATTTTAAATATAGCAGTGTATACATGTCAATCCCCAACTCCCAGTCTATCCCCACCCAATTTATGTTGAGTTCCCAATTTTTATCTTTTTACATTGTTTCCATTAATATAATATTGGAGATATACCTATTTTCAAAACTTTCTTCTGTTGACCTATATGGTAGATTTCAAAGTGACTTATACACTACCATGGCAGTATGAGAGTATTTTGAATTTGACTACATATTTACCTTACCAGTAAATTTTATAGTTTTGTATGTTCTTGTGTTACTAATTAGCATACTTTTGTATTACCTTGAAGATCATTCTTTAGCATTTCTTGTATGGCACCTGTATCTGGATGGACATCTGTCACCCTAGATTTAAGAAGTTTTTAGCCATTATTTATCTGAAGTTTCTTTCCCTTTCTCCCTCTCTTCTCCTTCTGGGACTCCCATAATGTTTCTGTTGATCTGGTCCCAAGCTCACATAGGCTTTCTGCACGCTTTTTCCTGCTAGTTTCTTTATTTTCCTCTGATTAAATGATATCAGGAAACGTCTTCAAGCTCACAGATTCTTTCTATTGCCTGATTGAGACTACATTTGAAGCTGTGTATTGCATTTTCCATTTTAGTTATTGTATTCTTCATCTCCAGAATTTATTTTTGTCTCTTTTTTATGAATTCTATTTTTTATTGAATTTCTTATTTCAGTCATGTATTATTTCCTGAGTTCATTGATTTGTCTATCTGTGTTGTCCTGAACCTTGCTGAGCTTCCTTAAAATTGTTTTCAATTCTTTCTCACATAATGTGCAGATTGTATCCTTGGGTCAGTTGTTGGAGTATTACTGGTATCTCTGCATTTGAGGGCACATTCATCTCTGTCAGTCTTAGATCTGGATTGACTTTAGTAAGGAAAGACATTCACCTGGAGGTGGCTGTAAGGGTGCTAGCTGGGTGGGATGCAGCATCTTTTGTTCCTGGGAAGTCACAGTGGCATAGTCCCCATGCCACTCTGCTGGTTGAGATTGATGTTGGTCAGATGGTGGTGGGGGGTCTTCTTGGCCAAGGCTGCAGAGGAAGTGCAGGTCGGAATGGCAGGTAGGGCTATTCAGATCTTTAGATGCTGAGGTCTTCCTCTTCGCTCCTTTTTAAATTTTATTTTATTTTTTTATGTTCGCCCATGGGAGGAGGTTATATCCAAGGGGATCCTTCTTGGAGAATGGGTTGGCATGCTGAAGCTCAGAATCCACAAAGCAGTATTGGAGCTAGGATCCTAGCATCAGGCATATGTGGGACTACCGCAGTGCCTGGGTCCTGATGCACAGGTGCATTCGCTATGACTGTGGCACTCGTGTCTAGGATAAGGGTGTGTGCAGATGTCCTGTAGAACCAATACCTGGGTTTCAGGGGATTACCACTGTGAATCCAGCTGGTGAGAGTG